ACCTGAGCCTGATGACCATCGGTGACCAGCTAGACCGCTTCGGTCGCATTTGGCACGGGAGCACTTTGGCCTCACGGCCGGATGTACTTGTTGATGTGTGAGGCCGGCGGCCGTGGCTTGTTCGGGAATGCGGCGGGCATGGCTGCGACGCGCCACTTTTCGATCCTGCTGGTGCATTTTCGTGTTTGCGTTTTAGGCCATATGCGTGCCCCGGCGGCGGGACATGCAGCTTGGAGCCGCTGGTTACGTCATTCGAGAACCAGGACGAGACTTTCTGGTGTTTTTTCCTTCTGTGAGCTGTGGAAGGTCTTGGTGTACCTGGCCACGGGCGACGAGCGGAACGAGCTGGCGTACCAGGACGAGCTCTGAGGTTCGCGCCTGCCTGTTTGGTATCACTGCTGCAGTTGTCTGTTTGAAGAGTCGCGCGCGATGGGCACCCTTGTTGCTGCGGCCCTTTTCGGGGGCGAGGCAAGCATGGCGCCCGCTGCGCAAGGAGGTCGTTTGCCATTATTGGCGTGTAGTGTCGCATCTCCGTGATATTTTCCGGGTCAGTTATAACTGTGTTTTTTAGCAGCAGGGACAAAGCGGGCGTGCCTGCCCCAGCTGTACAGAATAATGTCCACCTCTGAATAATAAAACTGCCCTTGATCAAGTGCAGGCCCTAAATAATGCAAAATCCAGGAAAATACAAAATTCTCTACTGGAAATAAAAGGAAATTGAACGGAGATGAAAGGAACGAAAAGGACATGAAAGGAAAGGAAAGGAAAGGAAAACAATCAAGAACATTGCATTGCATTTTTTACAATGTAAGTAGCGCTGAACGAATTGTCTTGGATTTGTAAAGGTGCTAAACCTAAACAACCCAGCCTTCAATAAAGCTAAAGCCTTTCAACAACCACCAAAAGAACCAGCCAGGGATTGTCTTGAATTATTTGAAGTCTGGAGAAATTGAAGGTTTGGGCTGCTTGTGGGGGGTCTTTGTGGGTTGGTTTCAGGTTACAAATGGCAAACCAAAATAAACAATTTTAAGAAGAACATGCAGCATCCAAATCAGCAATCCAGAAGAAATGGCCTTCAATAAGACTAAAACATTTCAACCAAAAGGAGATCTAAAGGAATTGTAAAGGACCACCAAAAGAACCAGCCAGGGATTGTTTAGTATTTTTTGAGGTCTGGACTAAGTGAAGGTTCGGGCTGCTTGTGGGGGTTGGTCTTTGTGGGTTGGTTTCAGGCTGCAAATGGCGATGCCCAAATAGACAATTTTAAGAGGAAAATGCAGCAACCAAATCAGAAGTCCAGAAAGGATGGCCTTCAATAAAGCAAAAACGTTTCGACCAAAAGGAAATCTAAAGGACGTGTAAAGGAAAACACAAAAAGCAATCAGGTTTTGGAATCAGCTGAAAGCTCAGAATCAGCGTGGATGAATCAAGGTCTGAAAGCAGCTGAAAATCAGGGTCCAGAAAAATTGTATTATTTGCGGACCATTTGCAGTCTGTTATTGAGAGAGTTCGTATTATTCACAGGCATTATATTCCTGACGCTTCGCGTCGACCGCCGCCCACACCTTCTTTTTTTTCGGTCGTCTGGGAAAGGACTGCTGGAGTGGACAGGGGAGGTCGGGAGTGGTGTCCAAAGAGATGGCTTGTTTGCCGCAGCGTCTATCTTCTTTCGAACTTGTGCTAGTTCGCTCGTTTGGTGGCCATGTTAAAGCCAATTCAGGCTCCAAGTTCGACCGTTTTGTGGCCTTGCCCCCGCTTGGTTAGTCCACATTACATCATGTCAAGGCTAGCTTGATCGTTTGGTGACCCTGTGTTGAGGCTACATGTTTTTTTGCAATAATGCTGGTTATGCGTTGCTGGTCAGGAGGGTTTTCAGCATCGTTGGTGTCCGTTTTTTGGCTTGTTTGGGTTCTTGCAGAAATAGTCCAAAAATGTACCTCAAATAATGCTGGTTATGCGTTGCTGGTCAGGACGGTTTTTCAGCATCGTGGGTGTTCGTTTTTTGGCTTGTTTGGGTTCTTGCAGAAATAGTCCAAAAATGTACCTCCAAAACGCTCTCCCCCATGGCCCTCGAGGCGTAAGACGTTTTTCCCCGAAACAAAAAAGAGCCCCCCCCAGCAGAGCTGTGCACTGATTTCGCTGTGATGATTGACTGACGATGATTCCAGCTTGACCCGCCCCTAACACGCCCTGCACCGCAAGCGCTGTGGGCGGATTTATCAGAAGTAGTATCAGGAGTCAACGTTAGCTGTTTTCAGGCGCCCACCACGCAAGATGGAGGTCGCTGAAGCACTGTGGTTTTCATGTTTGAATTGTTTGGCAAGATTGCTGGTCTGGCGACAAGACACTGTTGGGATAGTCAAACGTCGTGTGAGACATTCTGGCGACGTATTCTGTAGAACTGAGGCTGCCGTGTTGTATTGTCGAAAAAACCCTTGCCTCTCATCCACCCACTGCACTTCTGACGTGTGTTTTTCATCTTTGGTCGCCCGTTTTTTGCACCATTTGGTGTGAAACACTGCCTGAAAAGTTGTATTTGAGATCTTAGTTTTAATGAAGATCCTCACACATATTCTACTAATGTAAAGTCAGGATTAATAAATACCCTTAGTTAACCCGAGCCCACAAAGCCGGTCTTTGCATTAATGCTGTTCATCCTCCTCGAAGCGGCACGACGCGTCCTCCAGTCTCCCCTCCTCACCGATCACGTGAAGCTCACGTCCGAGGCTCACGGGCAAGTGCTTCAGCCTTTGCGTCGCGACGCCCGGCACCCAGTTGGCGACACAGCAGCAGGCGGGGAAGACGAAGACCGGTGGTGGAGTCAACGGTGGTTTCGACCGGGAGGGATTGTGAGTGGAAGGCCAGGCGATCTTTTGTTCCGGTCAACTGGTTGGGATGTTGTTTTCACGTGTTTGGTTGTTATGGTTTCTGGTTTTTCAGCCCAAGGCCAGGTGGTGCCAGGAGGGGTGCATGTGTTGGCCAATACTCGATTTGCCAGTTGCTTGCTGGCACTGCGGATGGTACATGTAGTTCAATTGGTCAAACTCTGTCGCTGAAACACATCAGAAGTCTGAGGGCCTTTGTGATAGGCACGATTTGGTCGGACCTGCTGAGTTTGAAGATGCGTCTAGACAGTGCTATAAAGTCCAAGATAATCCCAGTAGATATTCCGTGACATGGCCAGGCACATTTGGCTTTCATACCTTGTTACTGGTCCTCAAGGACAAACTCAACCTGTAACCCGTCCCGACCCCTAAAGCCCCTAAAACCCAACAATATCATATGGGTAGAGTCTGTCCCATTACCTGCACCAGTTGGTAAACAATGGTCACACATTTACAGATGTCGGCCTGGCAACCAGGCCCCATCACTGGGAGGTTGGGATAGACCATGATAGACCGTCTAATAGACCCAACATATAGGTCAATCTGGTTAATCTGGGTGGTTTTACAAGGTTCTCCCAAATATTCACTTTTTGAGCTGAACAGAAACACGGGCAAACATGACCCCAAACCATACCGGGCACATACCGAGAACCCTTTGCGACTCCGATTTTTGGAGCACTTTCTTCGCGTGAAAAAGGAAAACTTTTCCTATGAACAGAGGGGAGTAGATGGGTCTCAGGTATGAATGATATGCTTTGCTCGGATTTTGTCGCCGCTGTGATGTGCCCGCGTAGGCCTGCCTGTGGCGCTGTGCCCAGCGATATATGGAGCTGTCGGAGGGCGTATGTGGAGGTATCACAGCAAGAGGTGGCAGCGTTTTGTTTCAAAAGGGCTGCATCCCCCAAATCCCGGGGTAGAGCTAGTGCGGTGGAATGACGGCACAATAGTAAAGCATCACTTAGAAGTTTCTTTTTAAACAAATTGAATACACACAAGTTGGAACATATTTTGTATATGCGACCAACTATATATACTTGATTGATTTTGATTGTTTCTTCATCACAGATTGATATCATGGTTCTGGGAATCATAACTTTAGGCAACTCTGAATATACATGTGATAACAGACGTGTGGTGTGACGTTGATGTTTGGTCAACCAAAACGGTTTGTGTTTGATCTTCCTGGTCGCACCGGACCGCAACCGAGACGGGTGGCTGTAGACTCACATGGATTGAGCCACGTCCGAGCCAGCGGACCCGTTGGTTCAGCCAAGACAAACCATTAGACGCTTGATCAATAACCTCCCCCACTTGAATGGAACAACCTATATGGGCCATGGCGGGTTATTAGTCAAGAGTCTATATTAGAATTCCGGATTTGGATCATTGAGTCATTGATGATCATGAAAGTACCTACTGTCTCAGGTTCGCTTTTCTCGTTCACGCGTGCGAACCTGGACACATTGACGCCAGATGACCCCAAACAATCAAGGGCAGCAATTCTTCCAAGCAAAACCATGACATACCTAGCTAGAACCTGAATGACCTCCGTTTTGGACCACCAACCACCCCAAATATGGTATTTTCCTAGCAAAACAGAGGTCAAATGGGTTCTAGGTATAGTGACATAATGACATAACGACAATGACAGCAATTCTTCCAAGCAAAATGTTGACGACATTCATTGACCCATTGACCCATAGCCTGATTCTCATTGGTTCCGCCAGGTCTTAATTCCACGTGACACGTGTAGAGAAATCGTTTGACGCACGGAAAGCATGACTGGTGCGACTCGTAGGGAATAAGGGAAGTTTCGCCCCCAATAGAGATTCTATTGAATCCAGCCACCCTCATTCCCTGCTTTCGACGCAGTCAGATGAATTGGGACATCCCACCCTCCTTCGCCAAGCACGGAGCCGAGCCACGCTGCGGGGACCGAGCCAGGAGACTCAACACTTCGTGCAGAAGTACTCGGAGGTGCAGGGCGAGTTGTGCTGCTGGAGTACTTGGGACGGGTTGAAAAAACCGGGTGAAACGGTGTCCTTTTTTTCCAAACAGAAGACTCATCCGTCTTTCCCGGATGGAAGTTGCCATCCGGGTGAGTCATTGGGGAGGATTGGAAGCAGAGTATGTATACCCCAGCATCTATCCCTATAACGATCCACGGATCCACCGAACCGTGCAACACGGGTTCGGTGGCATGGTCTCCGTCTTCACCTCGGAAGGTCTGTGGATCCGTAGGGCCGTAGGGCTAGTTCATCCACACGCAGCTGGAAGAAAGGCCCAAGGAAGGCCCTCCATCGCCCCGCGACAGACTGGGGGACCTCTCAGGTGCATCATGGACCAGCAGTTATTCAGCACTGGATCAAAAGCAATTCGACTGACCAGAGATTTGAGCATGGTCCGGTTGTCGGTACTTTCTTGATTCACCTCCGGATTCCTTGTTTCAGGCTGATGCTTGTGCTGGGATCTGGGGTAGAGAAGTTCACCACTCACCCGCGCCGCTGTTTCACGAAAGGCCGTGCGGCGAGCCGGGCGGTGCCCAACTCAGTGACCCTTCCAAGCATTTGAAAGCCATTTGGCTCGCTTTCGCAGTTTGTCGAATCCATTGACATCCATTGACATCTCGCGTCGGGCCGCCGCGCCACGCGGCCGCAGCATGGCACGTGTTCTGCTGGTGCTGCTGGTTTTGGCGCACGGTCGACGACATGAGCGCCTTCCTGGCTCGGGTGGTTTGGTCGCTTGGGTGGTGAAGATGAAGATGTTCGCCATTCCAAACAAACAATTGAAGCATGGATAGACCGGGCCCCAGCTGTCCATGTGAAGTGGGATTGAATTCTGCTTATCTCAGATGATTTGTTTCAGTTTTGGAGTGATGCAAGTACTTGGCCGAAATTCTATCGGTTCTATCGTTTGACTCCACCGCGCACCTGGAGGATCTCATGTCGTTGGTCCAAGTATCATGTATGCAACCTGAAGGGTTTTGCATGGAACCTGTAGGTCCTTGGACCCTCCCTGGACCCTTTGGACCAACACTTTCAACCTGATAGATGAAAGGTGAGTGGATAGAAGTTCTTAGACTGGGCCCCTTGGCCCAGCAACTAAGGATAGCTGGGACGACCTACCACGTGATTTGACACCCAAGTCTTGGCAGAAGGCGATCAAGAACTTCCCAGGGATGAAGGGCAGCTCGGCTCCCGCAGGAGAGGCTATAGTGCTCGGTTTCTTAAGATTCTCAAGCAGGCTTCAACCGCCTGTGTAGGAGGTTTTCGTGCTCGGGCTGCTGGCGGGGTTCAAGGAAAAACCCCTGCCGCGGCTGTGGACAGATCCCATCTCAAGGTCACCATGACCCAGCAAAATCAGCGAATGTGTTTGGTGATGGAGTATGTATATGAGTATGTTTACCAAGTGATGTGTGGGGGAATGAAATTTTTGGGTTATGGTCCATGGATGTCCATGGTCATATCCGGAACGGGCATGAAAAAAACAGATAAAATATCGTAACATATGTTGCTCATGGCAAGTCAGACTCGGCCCTTGTTTGTCTACCCAAGGCATGGACCAGGGCAAGGTGAACTACACCTCGGCGGCTGAGGGTTTGGTGTCCCTGGCAGACAACGTGACAAAGATCACCGGCAAGATCCACGGCACGAGGAAGCAGGAGCCTGAATGGCCATGGGAATTTCCTCCGCGTGCACTGAATTGGACAGAAGAGGGCATCCCCTTCAGGTAAACAACAAATGGGATCCAATGGGTATATCTAACATTATCTACCTGGAGACTGAAAGTGGCAGAAATAAATGGCACTCACCACTGTGGCAAGTTTGCATTGGAAATACGCCACGATATAAAACACTAAAAATTCATATTGTGCACCATTGTTTGACTCGAGTGATTGTTACGGCTGATCACCTGCGCTCTAGAGCAAATGATCTGTCAATCAAGCCCATGCAAGGCCGGTCATCAGCACATAAGGCTAATGAAAAGCCAGCCAGCTTTACAATCACGACAGCATGCATTGCACAAGTGCCACTAGACTTGTACAACTCGAGCCAAGTGGAAAAGTGAAGAGTATACGTGTTTGTTGTTCATGGGGGGTGTTCTTAGTTTGAGGGCCGGTAGCTATATATATATATATATCACATATATAATATGTATATATTCGTGCGTGGATTCGTGAGCGTTCCGTTGTCGCACGTCCCAAGAGCGACCAGACCCGTGCAGTGACCCTGTAATTTTTTCCAGCTGTGCTTTGAGTCTTGAGACGGTAACTTCAAAACTCAGCCTTTGTTGGCTTCCTGTTTCAAAGCCACGTTCACGTTAACCAAGTACTTGCGGAGCGTCCTCTCATGGACGCACCTGCTGGACGCTGTCCTGCTGAGGGTGCAAATTCGACCCACCAGGTCCTCGTCCATTTGACAAGAGTAGGCAACGGGGCACAGGGTCCACGTGCTAGAGACAGAGCTTTGCTCTAGAACCCGAATCACGTGACAAAACATATGTAGTTTTGGTGCCAGTTTAAAACGGGCTTTTCCCAAACCAAATGCTTTTTGCACTGCTTCTGTGTAAAATGTCAACAAGGCCCGGCCATGTTTGGCAATGTGCCTTGTTTCGGGACGCCTCATGAACAAGTGTGCATGGTACAGCTTCCTCAAAAATTCGTTGCCTGCGACTAACGCTTGATAGATCACATGCAAGTAGTCTTGATTTGAAGCTTCTGGGTGATCTTTTTGGACTTGGAAATATTTCCATTCAAGGTATCTCGCAACAGCAGCTGTGTCAGCGCCTTTGAACCACGACCTAAAGCCATCAGGGTGTTTTGGAAAAACTATACGCATATATTCACACAAATAAAAAAAACGCGTACGTGTGTTTTCAACCAGGAAACCCACAGGGGTAGTCCGAGTCTGTTGGAAAACTCAGTAATGCGCGCGTCAAGTCGTTCATGTGGAGAGGTATTCCGTTTGCACGGCAAAACTCTTTCAGCTCTAAGAACAATCTGTGCAGCCGCGATGGGATATCGCCGCCCTCATTGCTGTCCAATCCAAGGTCCAAGAGAGTGACCTCAGATCCGAAGGGATTAGCATAGGAGCTCACGCTCACAGGCTTTAACATGTTCAACTCTCAACAAAACATTCAAAAGGAATTATTTGAAACAAGGCCTAGCTACTAAGGCTGACCCTGTGAGTTCTGCCATGAGCCCCTTATGGAGTGTATGGAAAATATCTGGTCGGTAGAACCATGTTTTGCACCAGATGTTGTCCGAAGTGGCCAATGAAGTCAGAGAAGATTCAACTCTCCATGGTAAGTCTGGTGTGTCTAAAGATTCCGGACACATCCATGTTGCGTCCACACACTTGTGCCAGTCTGGAAAATCCGTAGAACCAGCCATACAGAGATGGCATAAACCACTTGCATTTGCCTTCTTTGCTAATGATTGGTGGTGCGTTCTTGTTAAGTTCCCAAGCTTTTTCAACATTGGCCAATCACCTTTGCAAAAGAGAACAGCAGGGTATAGCATAACCTCATCTCCTCCATAGACAGTTGGGATACCATGCTCAAAGGCCGATTGTAGTTCCAAAGCAAAAGATGCAATCAAGTTGTCAAACACTTTGGATTGTTTCCGATACAGTTTCACATGCATAACGCTGTACACCAACCTGGTGACAAAGCTGCTCCCTGCCATGTTGGTTCCGAGCTCGCTCTCATCCCTCTTCGAGCTGGACAAGGTCCCCTGTCCAATGATCGGCTGGGAAGCTAGAACAAGGAACTGAGCCTTTTTGTGGGTTTGGCCCTCATCTGCGTAGACTGCCATGGGGACAACTTGATGTAATCGTCCTGCATGTTTGGTGTAAACTGGATGTGCTTTACCTTCAGCTGACTCTGCGTAACGTTCCCAAAATGTAGCACAGGACTTGAAGAGATCGTGGCCCCCTGAAAGACTATTCAGGCTGTTGTCGTTTCCAAGCATGCAAAACATATCAGACACGTGAAGAACCGGGTGCTTCTCTTTCAGTCCCACATCTATGTAACTGATTTTGCAGTTGGCTTGAAGGCCCTCTTCCTCTAAGAGACTTGGAGCACTTTCACGTCTTGATTTCTTGAGTCGACGCATGTGGCGAAGAATTTTCGAGCTTTTCAATCGGGCCCCCTTTGCACCATCTGTAGCACGTTCATGTTCATCAAAGATTGCTGTTGTAAGCATACAAGTGATGCGATCGGGTACCTTGTGTGGATCGATCAAAGCGAACTAGAACATTTGTGGAAATTCCGTGGCGGTCCGTCAAACCTTTTGCTATAGAATCAAAAGTTTGCGTCAAATTCTTGTTAGCGACTCCGGCGCTGATGGCTTTGGACACAGCCGCGCGCACAGGACTGAGCGCCCGCTTTGAGTCCCGCTTTGAAGTGGCCAAGCTCCTTGAAGAGGCGCTGCCTGCATCGATCGAAAATCGGAGAATTTGGCCACTGTGCGTCAATAAAAGTCGAGGCTCTTGTTCATGGAAAAATGCACAGCATACTTAATACTGGAAAACGGATCATTTTTCCCAAACTGGATTAAGTCGCAGGTAGCGTGGTGTCAATCCACTGTGCACCAATGACATATGATCTGTAGCTCTTGTAGCTACAGGCCTCCCATGAAACTATAGAAGTGCGAGACGAGGTTCTTGGGCAAAGAATCAAACGTTCGGAAGCTTACACAAAAACATCAAATCCCCGGCACGGCACTTCTACATACCCCAGAAAGATTGTTCAAGGACCGTTTCTACTTCTTTTTACCTGCGGCCTTGGCTTTGCTTTTGGCCTTCGGCTTTGCCTTTGGGGACTGCACTACCTCAGGCTCCCCCTCAGACTCGCATCCGCGAGGCGTTGGCTTCTTGTTCCTAGCCTTCCCCTTCACACCTTTCAGGACAGTCCTTGGGCGGATGACGGAATCGGGCCACGGATAACTTACTTATGAAGTTTTGTTTATATTTGAATATATGCCGTCTTGAGACTCTCTCTGAGTCGACCGCTTCACAGCATCTTCCCCTTTGACAGCCTGCCCAGCAGGAACGACTTGTGATGATTTGCGAATAGGAATCTATAGCTAATGAATGCAAGATGTCAGAACTATTCCTGTAGAGTCCCTGGGATGACTGCATGCGAACAGATCGAGCGGTTGCCTGCAGCTTCTTGAGGATGACATCCATCTTGGACTGCTCTTTGAGGAGTTCCTCCAAGTGCGGCATGACGTCGTCGGGATCCTGGAGAGCAATTGGGGCAAGGAAGTTAATCAACGTTCCCTGTAAGTATTCTGCAAGAATCACGCTCCGTGTGTTTTGCTCAGAGTTTAAAAGGAACAAAGAGAAGCCAGACAGTCCTCCACATCCAGACCATCATGCTTGTGCTGGCCGCGAGTTTTTTTGGAAGTCGCACTCTTGTTGTCGATGTCACTTGGACTCTCGGACTCCTGGTCACTATCGTCCTCATTCCCACTAGGCTTTCCCAGCGGGCATGTCAGGGTCATTTTGGCTTTCACCCTCCGCATCCGATCGGCAGATGTACGAGTGCTCTCTTCCACCGACTCTTCCTCCTCAGCCTCTTCAAACTCTGCATTCATGTCTTCTTCCACCCAGTATTTGTAAACGCCCTTCTCGTATTTGTCCAGCTGACGGTGATCTGCTCTTCGGGACTTGTGTGAACAGTACTTCACAATGGCAGCGATTCGCTTCCTAGGCAATCACAACTATGCGATGCGACTTTAGAGTGCTGTGCTCAGCTGGAAACCGGCGTGGCATGTCATTTCAATTATATAATCTATAACGGGTTTTGAGCAAACTTTATGTTGAGGGCAGGACGGATTGTAGTTCAGGGTGTCCTTCATGGCCTGCTCTGTGTAGAACCCCGCTTTCACCTTGAATGATCCCTTCCGGGTTCGCTTGAAGCGCTTGGTCACGGTCTTCACAAATTTCTCCTGGAGTGTGTTGATCGCAAGCATCGGACTAATGACTTGTATATCATGAAGCTAGCGAGACTGGCAACTTTACCCTTTAGCGGTACAAACCCTGTTGAAGTGAAGTGCGAGGCGAACATGTCAGACCTGGCCTTGTTCAATCCACATTCGCGCAAAAGCGTCAACAACTCTTCTCGGGACTTACCACGCTGCTGGTACTTCTTATGCACCTCCTTTGGCACATCCAATTGGTGTGACCCAGGCTTGGGCATGCAAATGCGACGAAGTTGAGCTAAAGCCGCCGCTCGGTTCTTGGCCGACGACTCCTGCCAGGTTTGAAAGGATGTTTTCTTTGCGACGATTTTTTTCATGACTATAAGGGGCAGAGAGGGTTGCAACATGGTTCTGGGATTAAGGCTTGGGAGATTATAGGCCGTAGCTGATGCAAAGGGAATTCAACATGCTTAGACTGAGAATTGCCAAACGGAACCAAAGCAAGTGTGCAAAGCAGTCCTCAAGATCAGTCTTCTCCACAACACAGGCAGGGCGTGCGTCCTAGAATCGGAGCGTGCGCATACAATATACACGCACGCTCTCATGGCATGCAGTTCTCACAAGTAGCAAGGGAAGCAATTTGTTGAAGTCCTTGTCTGTTTTTTCACTGGGTGGTAGGACCTTCCCAGAAAGCGAAAGCTGCTGCAAAAGGTCTTGGAGTTCGGTATCATGTA